AAAGCTCCCACATCCAGCTGGGCTGTTCTCAGCAGGCACACAGCCACGTGCTTGCAGCAGCTCTTCCTCCCCTGCCCGTGCTGTGACCCCCTGGAGCAGGGCTGGGGGGTTCCCACGCCCCAGGCCTCTGCTCTGAGGCAGGCACGGGGGAACTGGGAGGCTCTGGGGGGCTGAAAAAGTGTGGGAGGCGATGGCTGATGGGCACAGCCTGATCAGGGGCCTTTGGCAAGAGGGAAGCTCAAGGACCAGCATCATCAGGGCAATCGGTTTGCTGCCTGGGAGAGCCCATGTCTGCCTCTGATTCTTAGTGCTGTCCCAGAAAGCTGCAGGCAGGCTGGGATTGGCACTCTGGACTTTCTGTGTCCAGAAGACTCCTCAGAGGAGCACGTGGGGCTGACAGACATGTTACACTCCAGTACTAACTGTGATCAACTCAGAAAAGACCCAGCCCCACGTGAGGATCAGCTTTTGGGAGCACTGCCAGGCCCCCAGCCCAGCTGTGCTGCAGCTGTTTCTGAGCTGAACTGCTTCAGTCAGGGAGCACTAGAGAGGAGCTGGAGAGGAGGGTGGAGGTGGAGCAGCTCTGCAAGGGCTCAGACCCCTCAGTGGATGCAGTCCCCAGCACAGCACCACGGTGCCACAGGAATCACAGGGCACAGTCCTTACCTGCTTCCCAGCAGCTCCAGGGGCAATGCTCCACCAGCTCGACGAGGAGGCAGGGCAGGTTGTGGGTGTTCAGCATCCGTGTCAGCGCGCTCAGGGGCAGGCTGGAGACACAACAGAAAGGGTGAAATGGTGCTCACAGAGTAATGCCAGGATTTGTATCTACAAATGCTGCCTGAGGCAACTGGGAGAGGCGGGTAAAAAAGAAATGCTCTGGGTTCCCCAGGAGTATCGTGGAGCAGGGTGGAGTGCTGCTGTGTTTTCCTCCCAGGGCACAGTACCACTGCCACTGTGGATACAGCCAGCTGCTGAATGGGGTCCAGGCACCCGCTGTGGTGTCTCCTCCTCATGGGAATCTCCTCCAGAGAGCTCAGCACATGTTCTCTGCTGCTCCTGGGCACCCACCTCTCCACCTGGTCGGTGATGAACCGCAGCACAGACAGGGCCTTCAGGGAAATCTCAAACTCCATTGTCTCCGCCTGCTTCTGCAGCTCCTGTGGAGGGACAAGCACAGCCTTGGGATTTCAGGCCCCATTTCCCAGGAGCTGTTGACTGTGCAGTGGTAACCACAGGCTGGGGAGAAAAACAGAGCCCTTCAAAACAAGCTGTTTCTCATTCTCATTTCACTGCTTGTTTGCCAGGGCAGCCACAGAAGTGCTCACAACCCACTGTTGCTCATCCCTCATCTCCCTAACAGGTCGTGAATGACTTCCAGCAGCAGTGCTCGTGCACAGGAACACTCCCTGAAAGAGGCTGGTCCCAAACTGCTCCTCTATTCCCCTTTGGGGACCATCTTGTGGCCCATGGCCCTGCAGAAACCTCTGAGGGTTGAGGGAAGAGGAAACTGCAGAGGAACCAGAGGAGGAGAGAGAAACTTGACCCTGGTGCAGCTGCAGCCCTACATCCACCCCTCCTGCATCTGCCTCTCCCCTCCAGCTAGAATATCTGCCTGTGGTTATCCCAGACCACAGCTCTGCCACACTCTCCAGCCACCCAGCCCTTTTCTCTTTCCAGGCTGCACTGGACACCCTGCTCTTCTCCACATGCTCAGGCTAACAGCCTGACCACCCTCTGACTCAGCCTCTTTCGAGACCACGAGGATGGCTCTGCTGAGCAGGGCCAAGTTCTCCCTGGCCCAGGCAGAGCTTTTGTCCAGTCCCAGATGCTCAGCAGCTCACACTTCTGTGTGCAGAGCACTGACCTCAGCATCTTGTATTTCTCCAAAGTGCCACTGCAGCAGTTCCCTTCCAGATTTCTGTGGTAAGCAGCTCTGCGTTCCCTGTACTGGTGCCTCACACATTACTAAGAAAGCCTTATGGGCTCTTCCTCCCTCTCCAAATTGCCCCAGTGAGGTTTTTTCCTACAGCTCCTCCTGTTATCCAGTTATCCTGATCTCATCTCTGCTACCTTGAGGCAGGGACCATCTTTTGCCTGTGCTTCTGGGGCACAGCAGAACAGGGGTTACCACTGTACACAGTTACAAAGGACAAGAGGCTCCACAACACAGGAGAGGGCAGGAACAGCTTTTTCATAGGGGTTATTGTACATAGAGTCAAGAGAGGCTGGAATGAATCAGAGGAAACCAGGCTCCTTGGGAGATGAGTGCTTCTGAGAACCCTATTGGCTCAAAAAGGTCTGGGTTTTCAACTTCAGTCATGTCAAAGCACTAACAGAGACAGCCCCTTCCCCTCCCCAGCTGGGAAAACATTTCCTGGAAAACATCCCTATTGTGCTCTGGAGCCCTCCACTTCCTTCCCTTTTCTGGAAGAGGAACATGTGCTTGGGCAACAAGCCAAAGGATAGAGGCACAGGGAGGTACAGGCTCTCCCTTTAACCCTGCTCCTCCAGACACTCCTGGTGTGCAGTTTCAGGTGCTGAGAAGCACCAAAGGCAAAGAGATCTCCCACTCCAGGAAGGTGTGTGTGGCAGCCTGGGAACACCCGACCAGGCACAGCTCTGGGCTCACTGCTGGCCCAAACCAGCACAGAGGAGGAATTTCTTATGGAGCCAAGGAAGTTGGGGGAAACACATTAGGACAATTACTAATTTTAGGTGAAGCCTCTCATGTTTAACTCCAGTGGCAGCCTGATGCAGGATGGCTTCCCAAGCTCCAGGGACAGACACCCCCACAGCTTCCAGGAGCAGTGGCAAACGGCCAAACCCCTGCACTGAATATTTTGCCTCTCAACTCTGCAGCGTGTCCTGCCCTGGAGCTCTGAGTGCATCCTGCAGGAAGCCTCAGGCTGTCACTCTCACCAAAGAGGGCAGGAGCCTGGCTGCAGGGTGGAGCTGCTGGCAAGAGAGGAGCACCAGCAGACACCCTGGGAGATGGGTGGGACTCGCCAGGATCGCAGCCAAGGGGTTCTCCATGGGAAAGCTCCCCTGTGCCTCTGCAGGCTGTCCACATTCTCCACCACACGTCCCCAGCTTGCTCCAGGAGTTCCTCCTCACCTGCATGGACGAGGGGCTGGCCAGGTCCTGGGCACGCAGCTCCACTGCCTGTCCACTGGCGCTCCGGGCCGCGAGCAGGGTCAGCTTTCGGTGGCAGTAATCAATTAAATCCAGAATGCTGTCCTCTGCTGACTCACAGATCTCCTTCACAACGACATGAGTTGTACACAGGGCCAGTCTCCACAGCCATAGCCTTCCACCCCTCAAGGGACTTTCCACTGAGGAAAGCTGAACCTGCCTCTTACCTTGTAAAAAAACACCGTCTCCAAGAGGTTAATGATGGAGGCTTCATGGTGCAGCTGTGGGAGGAGAATGGCAAGAGTCAGCTAACAGTGGAGCAGCACTGAGGACACAGGCACTGGGACAGCTAAAAGAGCTCTTCTAAGAACCTACTTGTGTTGTGGCCAAAAAAATACTCCAAGAGAAAAATACAAGTGATGCAACCTTTAAAACAACTCCAGTTCATGCAGTTCATATTAACATTTATGTTAACATGCCCGTGACACTCTGACACATCGATGGAGAGCCACATTTCCCAGCAGGCAGGGCTCTGTCTGTGCTGCAGGGGTAGGACAACCACAGCCCTTGGTCAAGCAGCAGCCTCTGGTTCTGGCACAGAGCCACTGCCCAAGCCAGGACAGTGCTCTGCATGGCTGTGCTTCTCCCAGCCCCCGGGACTGGGGTAGACAGCCTTGTTCCAGGACTGGTAACCATGGGATAACTGCCTCGAGGCCATTAGCTGCTCAGAGAAGACACCACCTTGCCCCAGCAAGGTGCTACCCTGGACTGAAAATGGGCTAAAGCTTCCAAAACTTAGGCAGATTTCCCTTGGTTCAAGTGCTGCATCCCTCTGAGGCAAAGCCCAGCTCTGGAGATCACTCCCTTGCCAAGAATGGCCCAAAGGACCACTGCTCCCAGGACCAAAGTAAGAAAAAGTTACATTTTTGTTAAGCAAGAGGCATATAACCTCAGAGAGCTTCTGGCTGGATGTGCCAGAGAAAAACAGGGCTGAGAGAAGGGCAAACACTCCAGGGGTATTGCTGCCTGGGAGCGAGGGCAGCACTTGGAGCTGTGAGCCAGGAGCTCAGCCACCTCCAGGAGTGGCTTTTGCTGCATCCAGCCGCTCCTGCAAGACCCTCTGTGGGATGAGAGAGGGTACAGCCCTCCACAAAACCAATCTTCCCTGGGAGCGAGTCCCTGCCCTTCCTGGGGGCAAAGGCACATTGCTGTCCAGGGCTTTAGGAAACCAGGCACTTCCTACTGTGTCCCACTGCCCACCACAACCTGGCGAGATATAAAACCCCAGTTCTGACACCTTCAGGGTGACATTTATTTTTAAGGTTGCTGTGCCCACCCCATTCCCAGGCTCATTCCCACCCTGCCCTCTACTCACCACCACGTAGATGGGGAAGGTGCTCCTTGGCTTGAAGTCCTTCAGCCGGCACAGCACAGGAAAGACCTTGTGCTTCCAGATCTCCACAGAGATCAGCTCCCCAATGAGAACGGGAATCTAGACAGGGAAGGGATGGGGAAGCAACACCTTTCAGACCAGTGCTGCAGGGGGAACCAGTTTTGTTGCTAATGGTCAGCCACACTGGAGTCGTCCCAGGGAGGAAGGTGGCCCTGGGGCATCCTCTGTATTCACCCAGATCAGGAGCCAACAGATTCTCACCACAGAGAGCAGGCAGAGCTCCTGGGGCTGAAAAGGGGGAAGGTGACCCTGAGGAGCCGGGCAGGTCCAGGCAAACACACACTGGTGGTATACCCAGCATATCCTGGAGCAGGGACACCTCAGGTATAGGGCAGAGAACCACAACGGGTGGGGCTGGTGCATGAAAGACACCAAAACAACCTCTCAGAGAGAAACCAGAGACCAGCAAACAGAAATACCACAGCTTGACCTTTAATTATTTAAAAAAAAAAAACACCCCAAAACTGGCAAAAGCCACCAGTCAAATGTCTTTTCCAGAGACACAACAGAATTCTTCTCCATTTTATTCCGAAATTGCACACTGCCCACATGACAAGCCCAGCTGGGGATCCCTCCTGCCCCCCAGGGGAGGCTCACCTTGCCGTAGGTGACCAGCAGCTCGGTGAGGAGCTGCTCCTGGCCAGCAGAGGCGCTCAGGATGCCGTGCATATTCAGCTTCTCCACATACTCGTGCTGCCGAAGCCATCTGGGGGACAGCCAGCAAGGACATCTGTGCCACAGACCCCCGGCCACAGGCTCGGGGGCACTGCTGTGCTCCTGAGGGTCCCTTGTGCAGGGAAACCTGCTCTTGGAACCTCCAAAATCCCCTGCTGTGCTCTGAGCCTACAGTCCCTGGGGCAGCAGCTCCACTGGGGGCAGCCCTGCTCTCCTACCTGGTCCCCAGCAACACCCTCATTAGGGACACCACAGGACAGAGGGACCCTTCTCCATCACCCCTTCCCACACAGAGCCTCTGGGAACACCCCAGATCTGGGACTCTTCTTTGGCCCCCCTCCCCCTGGACCCACCTAATCTGCCAGTCCTTTCAGGAAGGCTCCAGAATCATGACCTATCCTGTCCCCCAACCCCACACGGACCCTCTGGGGACACTCCAGATCCGTGACCCTTCCTCACCCTCCTCCTCTTGAACTCTCCAATCCTCCCCAGTCCTTCCAGGAAGGCTCCAGAACTGCAGCCACTTCTCTCTCCGTCACCCCACCGTCACCCTCTGGGCTCACCTCAAAACCACGACCCCTCCTCTCTACCCTAAACCTTCTGGCAACCCCATTTACCCCCACCGTGACCCTCTGTGGGGGGGCGGGGGGAGTAAAACCGGGATCCCCGAAGAGCCCCAGCGAGGACCCCTCCCCCAAATTCAAAGCCCCTCTTTCACAGGAGCCTGTCCCCGCACCCCTGCCCGCCGGTGTCCCGCAGCTCGGTGCCCTGCAGCGCCCGCACCAGCGCCTCGGCCTCGGCGGGCGGCAGCGGGGCGGCCACGGCGGCCATGGCGTCCCACCGGTCGCTATGGCAACGGCGGCGCGGAGCGGCCTGTGCCGCCCCCTGGCGGCGCGGAGGAACGGGGGACACACACGGGGGACACGCGCGGCGTGGGGGACACGGGGCTCCGGTGCGGGCCGCCCCCGCCGTCACTTCCAGCACACGATGATGTTGGGGTCGTTCTCCAGGCGCTCGTCCAGCTCCTTGTAACTCATGCCTGCAGGGGAAGGCGGTGTGTGTTAGTGGGGTGCCCCGCACTGGTGCTGGGTGGGCTCCCTAAGGCTGCCCCTGGCACCACGGGCTCGGCAGCACGGCTTGGCACAGCGCCTCACCCACAGTCCTGGCTCCCTGCGGTCTGAGGGCTCCCAGAGGGTGAGATCCCCCAACCAGTGCACAGCCCTGGGCGGGCAGACACTCCTGTGTCACCCACCGGCCCCAGGGCCCGTATGGAGCCCGGATCCGTACCAGTCTTGCAGCAGATCTCATCGTAGCTGTGGCAGCCCGTGTACAGCCGGGCCGGGTGGCTCCGCTCGTCCCGCGCGACCTTCACGGGGTATTTCTGGAGCCTTCGGATAAGGCCCTTCATCAAACCAAACTGGATAAGCCTCCTGTGGACGAGGAGGGAAAACACTGGGACCACACTGCTGGGGTGCCAAACACCCCAGCTCCCTGCAATCCCATCTGGTTCCACCACGCCCCATCACTGCCTTGTGCTTCCTACCCTAGACGCAGGGGTTGGCTACTCCCTGCTCGCTCCCCCACGCTGTCCCTGCCACCCCTGGTGTCACCACTGCCCCTGGGGACTGGGCAGGAAGGCTCTGACCTCTCGTCCACCCTCTGGAGCTGCACGGTGTAGCGGGAGATGAGGTCTCTCACGGTGGTGCCAGGGCTGAGCCCGCAGTACAGCTGGAAGACATCCCTGAGGCTGGCTCGCTTGTGCCCTGTGGGGACAAGTCACCAGTCAGCTGCTCTGTCCCGCTGCATGACCCTCTATCTGCCAGCAGCCCCAGGTGGGGTCACTGTACCTTGTTTGGTGACGTAGGACAGACACTCTTCCTGGAGACACTTGTCATCCACCAGGTCCTGGACCTTCGGAGTGGTGCAGTAGACATTGGAGTACTGGAGGGTGAGGACAGACCAGCTCTGTTCAGCTGTGACTCCAAGAGACAGACCCAGCCCACTCCCACCCTGTTGTCCCCCAAACCCAGCCACAGCCACTGCCCAAATCCTGCTCACAGTACCACAGCCTGACCCACCTGGAGTATGGAGACGAGCGTGACGACCCCATAGTACCTGCAGATGGACAGGGAGATGTAAGAGACCCTCTCTGCCAGCTCCCACCCCCTTCCTTGGGCTGTCCAGGCCCCTCCAGGCACTCACAGCAGGTTCTGCACAGCAATCCGCACCAGGTTCAGCTCCACGTCAGCTTCTGCAGAAATCTTCTGGACGTGCCGAAAGCCATCTATGTAGGGCAGGATCTGGGAGGGGAGGAGGCAAGATCCAAGAGGGGAGAGATCAGAGAGGCTCAAGACATCACCCTGAAGCTCAAGAAGCTCCCCTGTCTCTCTGGGCAGGCTCCATCCCCAGCAGTGCTTTATCCTCATGCTGGGTGAACAGAGCACAAAGACCAGAGGGGCACCAAAGTGTGCTCATTATTGTGGTGATCTCCAGGACAGGCCAACCACCCAGGCAGTCTGGAAACAGCTCCCTTCCAAAGCCTGCTGCCATGGTAAAGCACACAGACCTGCTGCGTGGTGAGATCCCACTGGGAGTTGAAGAAGTCATCCTTGTCTTGGGTGAAGACGGGGACATCGTACTCCTGCACGATGGGGGGGTCCGGGCGCTGCTCGATCACCTTCAGGTGGATGGTGTTGGACTCATCTGCCCAGGAAAAGGGGAATGCTCAATGCCCATGGAAACCTGTGCTCCGACCATCAGCCCCAGCACACCATAATGCCACAGGGAATGAGGTGTTCACAGCCCGTTAACCCCCTCCCACCCATCCCTCTGAGCCACCCAGGGCAAGGCTGGCTCAGACACCCCCAGCTCCAAGCACAGACAGGCAGGGAGCTGCTGGGAGCAGCACAGGCACAGCAGACCCAGCTGCCCCCCAGCACAGCTCTCATACCTATGGGCAGGGTGCACTTCCCTTTGGCATTCAGCTCCTCCAGCAGGATGGTCATGATGGGGACCAGCTTCTGTTTGCTCTCCTCGTTGGAGATGAAGCCGCTTTCCAGCTAAAAAGAGCAGAAAACTGAGTCAGCTCCTCCAGCAGGCTATAGGAATCTGGATCCTGTTCTCCCTTAAAATTCAAGTGATCTTGAAGCTGGTAAAACCAATACAATACCCTTCTCACTGTTAACCTGGCCCCTATCCCAGCAATGCCCAATGCCCCAGGATGTGCTCCAGGACACCATTGGGGTGTCCACAGCCTGTGGGGAGGAGCGAGAGGCAGCCAGGCTCAGGTCTCACCTCGAGGGTGGTGAGGTAGCCAGCCAGCTTCTTCACAATGGGCTCCAGGGCACAGGCCTTGGCTCTGGCGTCGCACACGAAGCCCAGGTTGAAGAGCAGAGCGTTCCTGCTGTACTTCTTGTGCTCGATGCACACGGGGCAGCCGATCAGCTTCTTCTCCATGGCCGTCCTGCGGGAAGACACATAAAACCTGCACCTACAGCCTCGGGGAGAGCTGAGCCCTGCACAAGGACAGCTCCTGGTCAGCTGTGGAGGTGGGGGCTTCTCTTGTTTGCAGAAAAAATGATGGCTAATCCCCCCATGCTCAGAGTGCAAAACACAGTCTGAAGAAGGGGAGAAAAGAGTCACTCATCGGAGAAGACAACACTTTCCTTACAAAACCAGCACAGCTCTCCTGACTCGTTTGGTTTCCCCGCATTTGAGGCTGACGGAGCAGCACAAGCAGCACCAGCCACCCCCAAATCAGACACCGACCCCCTGCACGGGTACCTGCGGGCACGGCAGCGAACCTGCCGGCCACGGGGACAGCACCCCTGAGACCTGGCACTGCCACAGCACCGCGGTGTCACCCCCACCCAGCGGGGAAGGGACGGGGGGTCTGCACTCACACGGTGATCAGCTTGTTCTGCAGCTCGGGCTTGGTGATCACGTACACCTGGATGGTGTCGAACAGCTCGCGGGAGATGAAATCCTCCGGCACCTGCGGGGCACAGGAGTCTCCGTCCCAGCCGAGCCCCGGGGAACAGCCGCCACCGCTGGCCCTGCGCTCCCTTCTCCCCCACGCGCGCTCCCGTGCCCCAGCCCCAGCCGCCCCGCACCTGGTAGGTGATCTTGGGCCCCAGCGTGGGGTGGAACTCGCTGAAGAACACGCACTCGATCCGCCCGCCCATGGCGGGGCCCAAGCGCAGCGAACGGCCCGACCGCGCCGGCCACCGTAGCGGGGCTGCGATCACACGGTGGAGCAGCCGGGGGCGGGACCTCGCCCCTGAGCGACAGCTCCTCCCGCCACTCAGCAGCGGCGCAGGGAGGGAAGGGCGGGCCCTAGCGCTGACGGACAGCCCGGCTCGGCCAATGGCGGCCCGCGCCGCGGCCCGGCAGTGTCGGGGCGGCCGCTCCGCCCGCCCGGCCAACATGGCCCTGACGGCCGAGACCGAGTCCCGCCTGTACCGCTCGCTCCGCGTCGCCTCCGGCGCCGCCGCGCACCTCGTGGCGCTGGGCTTCCCCGCCGCCGTGGCCGTGCTGGCCCGGCCCGGATCCAGTGAGTGCCGCGGGGCCGGGAGCGGGGCGCCGGGGGGGCGGCCGGGCCAGACCTCCCCGCTCACCTCACGCTGCCCTTCCCTTGCAGGTCTGTTCTCCTGGCACCCGCTCCTCATGGCGCTCGCGGTAAGTCCCACCGCCCCGGGCACCGTGGCAGAGGCAGGGGCCGTGCCGGTGGAGTCCCCGGGCGGTGCGTGGGGAGCCCCGGGAACCCCCGTGAGCCGGGGAGCCGAGCCCCGGTTTCCCTGGCGGAGGGGCGGCTGCTCGGCCGGTGCCAACCCCGCTACCCTCTGCCTTCCCAGTTCTCGTTCCTGATGACGGAGGCGCTGCTGATCTTCTCCCCGGAGACCTCGCTGCTGCGCTCCTTCTCCCGCAAGGTGCGGGTGCGGGCGCACTGGGCGCTGCAGCTGCTCGCCCTGCTCTGCGCGCTCCTGGGGCTGGGGATCATCACCTACAACAAGCACCTGAACGGCAAGGGCCACTTCGTCACCTGGCACGGGCTGACGGGGCTGCTGGCCGTGCTGTACGCGGGCGGGCAGTGCGCCGGGGGCGTGCTCCTGCTCTACCCCAAGCTGATGAAGAACTGGACGCTGGCCAAGCTCAAGCTGTACCATGCCACCTCCGGGCTGGTGGGCTACCTGCTGGGCTGTGCCAGCCTCATGCTGGGCATGTGCTCGCTGTGGTTCACCACGGCGGTGACCGGCGCCTCCTGGTACCTGGCTATGCTGTGCCCCCTCCTCACCAGCCTGGTGATCATGAACCAGGTGAGCAACGCGTACCTGTACCGCAAGCGGAGCCAGCACTGAGGGCCTGGCGCACAACCAAACCCCGAGTGAGCTGGCGAGGCCGGGGCTCCTCCTCACAGCTCCCCCTCCTCGCACGAGGTCTTCCTGGAACTTTGTTTCTACTTCCTTGTCTCTCGTTAGTCCTGGATTGTCCTTAGTGTCGGCTACAATGTGTGTGTGACACCTCACACCCGCCCCGGTGGGGACGTTTCCCAGCACAGGTGAAGCTGCTGGTCCCTGCAGCAGCTTGGTGCTCAGTGCTGGGAAACGGAGGGTTCGCTCAGGATTCCTGCTCCTTTCCCATTCCCACAAAAGGGCTGCTTTGGAGCAGGCAGGACGGGAGCCATCCTGGTGAGGAGGGCAGGAAGTCCCCTCCCTCTCTCCTGGGAGGCCGCAGTGGGCACCACGCTGCCTCTCCTGCTGCGGGGGCAGCTTGGCTAGGAAAGCACAGGGCACGGTTGTGGCTTTGGCCCTGGGAGGGCTGGGGCAGGGTGGTGGCATCTGAGGACACGGTACAGGAGCACATCTGTCCCTGTGGCATGAGGGCTCCCTGGGACCAGAGCAGCCAGCCCTGACCCGAGGCCACAGGTCTGGGCACTCGCTGCCACGCACAAACCCCTCCCCAGGCTGGGGCAGCGCAGCCTCGGCTTGTTGGGGTGGAGTCAGTTTACAAAGCAAATGACTGAGCCAGGCTATGAACCTGCAGCCAGCAAAGGCGTTTTGTCCTTTGGAGGGGCACAGGGAACAGTGTGAGCAGGGCAGAGGTGCAGGCCTGGGGGATGAGCCCTTGGGAGGGCAGGAAGGGACCTCTTGCTGACACAACCACCTTTCTCCCAGCCTGCCCACCGTCGGGGCTGCTGTGAGGCTCTGTCTGCAACTCCTCAGCGCGTATCCTGCTCCCAGCAGAGCTGGAGAGCTGGGAGCGGCTCCCAGGCTGAAAAATTCCTCTGTATCCAGAGCTTTTATTCAATAAAAATTTCAGGCAGCTACAGTGCAACAAGCCCTCTTTACTGCTGGGGGAGGAGGGAGGAAACATGACTTTTGGGATGCTGGCACACTTTTCCCCCCCTGGAGATTTCTCACCTCCTCCTTTCAAAGGGTCTGTTCCAACCTGCTGGGAGGACCTGGGAAGAAACCTCCTGCCCAGGCTCCTGGCAAGAGCTCCAGGGGCTGCTCTGGGCCAGGCCCCTGCCCTGCCCATGCTCTGCTACAGAAGCCAACTCTTTCAAAGAACTCTTTATTGATACCCAAATGTCCGTGTTCTTCCCGTTAGACAAAACCTTCTCATGTGGTCCTTTAAAAAAATAATAATGACACTGCTGACCTGCTAACGGGCTGGGAATTGCCCGCTGGATCAAGAGCTGTGAGGAGGCTGTCACAGGGAGCATCCTCTCCATCCAGGGAAAAAAAACCCCACCAACACAGAGGGAGGGAAAGAAGGGGGGAGCCCATATTCTACCTGCAGGAAAGAAAACCTGCTGCTGGAGGAAGCAGCGAGAGCCCCGCCATAAAAACTTAATTCCAGCTTCTAGTGTAATCTGACAAACGGATTAGCCGGGGAGCAGCCAAGGGCACCGGCTCCTCGCAGGGGGAGGGGGGCAGGAGAGGGAGGAGCAGAGAATTCCCACCGCAGAAAGCCTGGAGCTGGCAGTGCTGGACCGCTGCTGTGAGGGGCTGGGCGGCCCCTTCCTGACCAGTGGCCTGTCCCCCCTGCCCAACTTCTCACCGGTCCCAGCAAACTCCTGCCAGGGTGGGGGAGGCTCTCCATGGGAAAGACATCTGGAAAAGAAACCCATCAGCCTTCCCATTCCCTCAGTTCGGGACAAAACTACCTTCAAAAGGGAGGAAAGAAATAAGTGTTGAGTGCTCTGGCCAAGCCCTGGCACAGAGGAGAAGCTGACTTCTATCCCACAAGGGCGAGCGCAGCGGCCTTGGGGTGGGGATCAGCCCCGTGTCCCCGTCCTGGGACAGCCCCCGCTGCCTGCGCCGACTCCACGGCCTCGCCCGCGCCGAGGGGAGTGGCTCCAGCAATCCCTGTCCTCGCGGTGGCGGCAGTGTCACCGTCCCGGGTGCCTGGTGCTGGCCGCGAGCAGCAGCAAAGCGTTGCTGGAATGAGGTGTCCCCCTGCCTGTGCCACGGGAGGAGTCCCCGCTCCCAGCCGTGCGGGATACAAGGGGGATTAGCAGCTCTCCAAGGGAGACAGGGCGGGAAGGGGGCCGGTCACAGCTGGGCCGGGGCATCCTGGAAGCTGATGAGGTTGGACTCCTGGCCGGGGCTCTTGCCGGCCGCGCCGGGGTCAGGCAGCAGGGGGGTGTCAGCCTTGGCCGCCGCTGCCTCCTCCTCCTCATCCTCCATGCTGGGCCAGGCCGACTGGTCCTCCACGCGCTTCAGCCGCTCGTTCAGGGCCTTCAGGGCCAGCTGCCTGCGGGGCAAGGGACACCTGGTTAACCGCGGGTCCAAGGGGCAGGGCAGGGGCTGACAGCTCTGTCCCACAGGGCACTGTGAGAGCCTGGCCCTGGCTCCTTCCCAGCAGGAAAGGGTGGATTCAGCAGCAATGGGGATGACCCGGAGTGCCCAGGACTGCTCCACAGACACTCAGTCAGACTCCCAGACTACACACACGGAGTTCTTGCGCCACGTGGTGCGCTCAGAGGCTGTCAGGGAGCACGCAGGCTGCTCCGGGAATGGGGACTAGAGGCATAAAACAGGGCAGGGAAAAGGGAACGCCAACGCCTTGTCCAAACCCTCCTGCTGGGAGTCAGGAGGGGCAATGCCGGGTGTGGGGGACGGCTGGGGCGTGGGGCTGACTCACTGCCTTCCCCTGTGCTGGGGGAGTGCAAGACTGCCATGAGTCGGGGCTGGCACCTCCCCAGGCTGTTCCCCTTCCTTCTGCAGGGACCCCAAACCCTGCCTGGCCCTTCCCCAGCATCTACCCACTGCTCCACATCTTGAAGAGCAGGACAACATCCCACCAGCCTCCTGAAATGCTCCTCACCACCTCCTGTGGCAGGGCAGACCCCATGCAGACGGTCCCTGCTTAGCAACCTGCACCTAAACCTCCCTCCTCCTCCTCCTCCTAGTTCGGATTTTAACCCGACCCTCGCAGTCCCTAAACACACGATCCCCACGGGAGCAGGACAGGCAGTACCTTCTCCTCTCGGCGTCCTGGGGGTCCGTGCCCGGCAGGCTGATGGTGATGGAGGACGGGGCGCCCACGTCGTAGCGTTTGACAGTCTTGCGGCACACCCTCACCTTCACCAGGACGCCGTGCACCAGGTTGGCCACCAGACCCACCACGGGCTGCAGGATCTCGGGGAAGAAAGTGGCGAAGGCGAAGTGGTCAGACATGTCTCCGCGGCCTCTACTGTGCCGCTGGTAGAAGCGGAGATAGACCCAGCTGGAGAGGAGCCCGAAGCCGTACGAGGCCAGTACATTGCTCTCGACGAGGGCAGCGAGCCGCAGCAGAGCCAGGAGGAGGAGCAGGAGCATGGGGACAGCCTTCATCCTGACCTGAGGCACCTTCAGCACGGTGCTGTCTCCCATCGTCTGCTTGAGGGCCACCAGGACCCCGCCGAGGAAGCCCAGCCCGCCGTGGATGCGCACGGCGAACAGGTAGTCGAGGTGGAAGGAGGCCACGTAGGTGAGGAAGTAGGCGAGGGCCGCCAGGAGCCCCACGGAGATGTTCACCACGGCGAAGAAGACGAGCAGCTCCAGGGCCCCCCAGAGGGGCTCCAGCAGCCGCCCCGCCGCCCCCAGCGTGGCCAGTGCGGCCGCCAGCCCCCAGGCGCGCTGCTCCACCAGCCCGTGCGTCAGCAGCGTCCACACCCAGAAGTTGGGGGGCAGCAGGTAGCCGGGCGTCACCGCCAGCCCGTAGGCCGTGTCCAGCCCGAAGGAGAGCAGGTACAGCAGCACCGCGGCCGCGCTCAGCGACTTCACCACCACGCTGGTGCCGGCCAGCGCCGCCAGGAAGTGCTGCCGGGCCACCGGCAGGTACCGCCGCATCTTCGGCCCCGCGGGCGGCACGGGGCGGCCCCGCGGGGGCTGCCCGGGCCCCCCACCCCGCCCGCTTCCCCCCCGCGCCGCCCGCTGTCGGTGCCGGTGTCGGTGCCGCTGCCGGTGCTGGTGCCGGTGCTGGTTCTGGTGCCGGTGCCGCCGCTCCGCCCGGGCCGGGCCGCGCTCGGCCCCGCTGCTGGGACAGGCCGGGCGCGGACAAACAGCGCGGCTGCGCCTGCGCCTGCGTGGGGGCGCGTGCGACTGGGCGGGGCCGCGCCGCGGGGGCGGGGCCGGGGCGCCGCGGGGCACGTCGGGATTTGTAGTCCAGGAAGGAGAGGGGACACGGCCATGGTGGGGGGATCAGGACACGGGGCACATGGACATGGGAGGCGCATGGACACGGGGGGGGACACGGACATGAGGGGTGACACCGGGGGACACGGGATAAACGGCCGCGAAGACGCGTACAGGGCGGGTCATGGACATGGAGGGGCATAGCCACGAGGGGCACGGGACAAATGGCCGGGAGGATGCGGACACTGGGGGGACATGGGACAAACAGCTCGGGGGACATGGACAGAGGGGTGACACGGACGTCAGGGGACACGGGACAAATGGCTGGGAGGGACGTGGATGGGGAGGGGACACGGACACGAGGGGGACATGGAACAAACAAGCTCGTGCGAGATGGACATGGGGGTGACGCGGACATCAGGGAACAGGGGACGGACGGGAGGGTCATGGACACAGAGGGACATGGGACAAATGGCTGGGAGGGGCGTGGATGGGGAGGGGACACGAGTGGACAGGGACACGGGGAGTGACACGGACACTGGGGGACACGGGACAAACAGCCATGAAGACACGTACACGAGTGGGTGGCACGGACAGGGGGGTGACACAGGCACAGAGGGTCATGGGACAAATGGGAAGGACATGGGCACAGAGGGACACGGGACAAACGGCTGGGGACACGCAGACAAGGGAGGACACGGGGGAGAGGGGTGGCAGAACATGGGTATGGGGCCGTGAGGGGGACAGTCATGGGGAGGTGGACATGGCGGGCACAAATGCTGGGAAGAGGGGATGTGGACACGGGTGGGCTGCGCACAGGGGGTACGTGGGAACACTGAACCCACGGGACAGGGGTGTGGGGACACAGACACACGGGAACGTGGGTGTGGAGTGGGGAGAGTGGACAAGGGGATTTGGGGAAGGGGCAACACAGTCCTGAGGGGACACAGGGAGATGGAGGATCCCGGAGGGAGTTGGGGAGGGGCCGAGCCCCTGCTGCCCCCCAGCCCCTGCTGTGCAGCGTGCGGGGCTCTGTGAACCCACAGCTCTGCTGTGTCCCTGCCTGTGCCCAAATCCCTGCCCGTCAGCCTCACAGAGGTGCAGCGGGTGTGAAGGCAGCAGCCCCCCAAATATCCTGTGCCACCCCACATGCTGTACCCCCTGGCTGTGCCCACCCCACCCCGGGTAATGATGCAGCCACCGCCTGTGAAGTGAAAATATGAACATTATTTAATAACTGAGTCTCTGTAATAAACCATTTGAAAATATTTTACAAGGAGTCACACGCACGATATCTTACAAATTGTCTTTTTGTTGTTTTTTTTTTTTTTTAAGTTTTCCAACTCTTCTGTACAAAAAAAAAAAAATCGAAACCCAAAGAAATTAAAAATAAATTAAAGAAAATAAATTTAAAAACCCAACGCCTTTGAATGAGCAGAGAGAAGCTTTTGGGCAGGGACAGGGCAGGACGTGACCCTGGTAGGACAGGGGGACCCAAGGCCACGCCGCCCCTTCGTCTCATTGGTTTTTAACTTAAAATAGACTATATATGTATATATTTATAGGTATGTATAGTGGTGGTTTTCTGGCAGAGCACCTAACTAGACTACAGAAGTACACACACTCCCGGTAACACAGAGCCATCTGTTCAAACACGGTTCCCAGAGACAGTAACCAAACACACACTGAAAAAGCTACAAGCAGAATGACCATTAATTAACCCCCAGCACTGATTAGCGCCTGGCGCCCTCCCCAGCCCCCCCGGGGTGGCCGTGCCGAGGGGGCTCCCCTGGACCCGGTTGATGGGGTGGCTCTGAGTGGGGTGGCCCGGGGGGGTGAGGGTCCCCAGGGCTGCCCACCCGGGCAGGGACCCCCGGCACTGCCGGGAGCAGTGGGGGGCACGGGTGGTGGGAATGGCACCCCCTGCACCGCAGCATCCCGAGCTGTCACGGCCGGGCACCATCTTCTGGATGGGTTTGTGGGGTGCCAGAGCCGAGCAGCTACTTCGTCCCCTTCTTGGCACCCAGCATTTTGACTGGGGGAGACAAAACACCCCCACCTGAGCTCCCCGGTGCGAGCCCCAGCCCCTCCCGCCCCTCCAGCACTGCGTGCCCCCCAGCCAGGGCCCCCGCAGCACCCGGGGGCTGCTCCCCTCGCCGTGGATGGTGCCCGGAGGGACGGGCATGGGGGCCTGGCACATCCCTTCTGGGGACATGTGGCACCTCCCGCTCCACTTGGCACTCGGGGATGTGCGGCACGTCCCGCTGTGGGGCATGTGGCGTGACCCGCTCGGGGGCACATCCACGTCCCCCAGGGGACAAGCAGCACGACCCCGTGGCAGGACGAGGGGGACAGGGCAGGGCTGGGGGGGACAGGGCTGGGCAGGCAGGATTCACAGTGATCTGCAGAACAGAAAAGAAACAAAACACATTTCCCCCCCTCCTTTTCACCCCAGTATCTGTGCCCAAAAACAGCTGAGCCAAGCGCAGGGACCAGGGCTCCATTGTGCCACTGTCCCCCCGCCCTGCCCCTGCCCCTGCCCTGCCCGCTCCCAGCCCCAGCCCGCAGGGATGCTGGAGCTGCCCCACACATGGGGGGCCGGTACCGCTGGAACAAATAATACTGACCCGCACAGTCAAGTCAAGTCCTTTTTTCTTTTTTTTTTTTCTTTTTTTTTTCTTTTTTTCTCCTTTCCCCCCCCCCCCCCCCTTTTTTTTTTTTTTTTTTTTTTTTCCTTCCATGTGTCCTCGTTGCTGACAATAAACCCCGCCTGTCTCCAGGTGAAAATGTTGGAAACTCGATGTAGAAAGATCTGCTTTAAAATCTTCAGGTTAAAAAAATAGGCGAGGTGGACTGGGGGGGTCGCGGGCGGAGGGCACCGACGCCACTTTTCCGAGTCCGAGCGGCCGGGAGGGGCGCACCGTCCCGGTCCCCGCTCTGCCGGGGAGCCCCTGCCCGGTCCCCGCTCTGCCGGGGAGCCCCTGCCCGCACCCCGACTCTTCTTTGGCTGCGGCCGGTGGGGAGAGCGGGGCAGCATCGCGGGGGCCCCCGAGGTGGCGGAGGGGACGTCGCTCCCGCCCCACCGAGCCGGGGAGGGGGATGGAGATGGAAGTTGAAAGAAAAGAGAGCTGGCGGGGGCGGCCAGGGAGCTAAAGGCAGGCGGCCGGGGGCAGCGGGTGCCGGCTGGTGCTGGAGTAGAGGAGCAGCAGCTGCAGGGAGAGCAGGACCCCCAGGGAGGGGGCGAAGGAAGCCCCTCGGCCGCAGTCTGAGGTATCTTCCTGGGCGGGCAAAGAGAGAGGGGCTGTGGGGCACCCCCACCAGTGCCTCGGCACCTCAGGGGCACCCACTGCCCTGGAAGGGACACTCACCACCCCTCTGCAGCCCAGCTACACCTCCTGCTCTAGGGTCCCTGTGGCATAGCCCCCCCCCCAAACCAACCCACTGTGCTGCTCTCCCTGGGACCTCCATGGCTCTGTGCTTCCCTCAGAGGGCATCCCGTGGCATTACTTTCCTAAGGGCCCTTCACAGCTCTGATCTCCCCAGGGGGCACCCCAAGGTCCTGACCCTCCATCCTGGGTCCTCAGGGCTCCAAACCCCCATCACAGGGATGCTCCCACCGCACTGCACCCCCAGGATCCCCTCATGGCTCTGCTCCCCCACTGTAGGGGCACTCACTCCTCCATTTCCTCCCCAGGGGTGAACCCCTCAGTTCTGCTCCCCTGGGGTCTTCCTTATGTCTCCAGTTCCCTGCTCAGGGGAAACCTGCTGCCCAAATTTCCCCCATAGGAGCACCCCACAGCTTTGCTCCCTTGGGGGTGCCCCATGGCTATACACCCCCACCCAGAGGGCACCCCCTGCTCCCATCTCTTCCCAGGGGACCCCCAGCTCTGCTCCCTCCTGCACCCCACGTACTGTTGCATTGTAGTCAAAGCAGATGTGGGGGCCTTTCCGGTAGCGGGGCCTGTCCACCAGCTCACACTGGTTGGGGTCCCTCGGGGGTGCTTTGCAGGTCAAGGAAACCACCAGGGACACAGCAGCGAGGGCTTGTGGGGTACCCCGTGGCCACCTACAGCCCCTCTGGTCACAGGCCACCTCCCTCCACCTCCACCAAACCCCACAGCTCCCTGCGCCCGTGCCTGTCCCACAGATGGCACTGGCACTGGTACCCCTCATCCCTCTGTCACGACACCCTGGTGGGATGCAGGCTCCAAAGGATACCTCTTACCTCTGCCTGCATCAGCTTGACAGACTCACACTGGCTGCAGAGGGGCTTGTCAGCCACCACGAAGAGCAGGTTGGTGTTGGCCAGTCTCTGTGCATGGAAGAGCCTGTGGGTGCAATGGCAGCGGGGACCCCAGTTACCCTGTGCCTTGATCTCTCCCAGTTACCCTGTTCTCCGATCTCCCCCAGTCCCCAGTGCCAGCCCTGCCAGCACGTGGCTCTGGGAAGGCTGAGCCAGCCACAGGTTCGCTCCTGTCCTCATCCTCTTCCCCATCCCTGTTCCCAACCTCATCCCTGTCCTCACCTCCATCCCCAACCTCACCCCTGTCCTCTACCTCATGCCCATCCCTGTCCTCAACCTCATTCCTGTCCCCATTCCCATCTCCATGCCATGGGGCTGCCCAGGGACTCTGATGGGCTTTCAGGGCCCATGTCTGTGTGGAGGAGCCCTGGGGACATCAGCACCCCCAGCCCATGGGGACAATACTGCGCACTCTGTCCCCCCCTCCAAGTACCACAGTCCCCCCAAATGCTGCATGGCACCTCCTATGGTTCCCACACGGGCAGGGGTCCTGGCAAAGGCAGGCTGGGGGATGTCCCCAGCCCTGACCAGGGGGTGGGACCGTGGGGACGGACCCACCTGGAGCAGTTGCCGCAGTCGATGATGGCATTGTAGGTGGCGTTGACGGTGCTGAAGTAGTACTGC